AAAAAAGATAGAAAATCTATGTTTAAATATCTTTACAACAAATCTGGAGAACAATAGCAAGTCATGTTCTTACTGCTTTTCCTTACTATGGGCATCATGGACATTTGAGAATCTTGGTTGCTGAGCTGCTGATTGAATGAGCTTCAGCTGTTAGGCACAGGTCTTTGCAGAAAGGGATTTAATATATTATGTGTGGCTTAACTTTGGTGACACCGTGTCTGCCTGGGTTTAGAAGAATCACTTTAGAAATGCCTAACTGCATGGGCTCATTTCTAGTGTATCTTCAGGCAAGCCACAGAACAAGAGGGCTCAATTGTTCCCATAAACGAAGGGCAGAGTCGCCAAGTGGTCAATACCTGTGCACACCATTTCCAAAGCCTTATATCCCATACTCAAACTGGTGACATTTCAAGCATTATCGAGACAAAGCGGTAACAACAGGACAAACAGGAAATTATTTCCCCCACAACTAAATCACAGAAGTTGGCATGTAGAATGCTGCACCTTTAAAGATACGTATTGCACTATACTTGTAAATAACATCATAAGTAGGTAATAGCACCATTGTAAAATGATTGAATGGAAAGACAGAGTGAACACTCTCTTTTTTTAATTAAAAGGTCCTCAAAGAAGAGAAAAAATACCAACATGAACATTTGTTTCCTGAAACAGAGACATTAAGAGCAAGTTGTCCATAAATGGCACATTCAAGAAAGCATCGTGAAACTTTCCATTAACTCAGACTACAAGCATTGTAAGCCATGCTTGCAGTGCCATCTTTGGATTGTCAGATAATAATGTGTTCACAACACCAAGCAAGTCTTTGGGCTACAAAGAAATGTACAGGATAGAACCAGCCCTTTGACCTGCCCATGATAAATTAACACAAGATGGAGGAAAATTAGATCATCACAGGGGTCCTAAATTCCCTGAATGGCTGTGGAATTGTTTGTCCTTTTTCCAGACACCATTGACGTGGTGGTATTATTCCTAAAGACAGGGCTTTTTAAATAATAATTATTTACTTATTATATAAAGGTGCTTATGCAATGTGTTACACATTTGATGACTAAAAATCAACCCGCACTGACTCCTGATTAAATCAGAGAGACTGCCTCAAAGCACAATCTTAAAAATAAAAAAGAAAAGTATGAATGAGACTGAAACTTGGGCCAGTGATGCATTAGGAGGAAGATATTTCAATCCATCATGGCACTGCTTCTACATAGATTTGGGTTGAATGCATAGGACCTTTTTGCTGGCTAAAGTGTACACTAACAGTTAAAATCGCTGTTTTTATTTAATTCAAAATGGGGAAAAAGTTATAAACCAAAAAAAAAAAAAAGGCTCTAGTTCCTTCAGTTTACCTACTCTGGATTACAGAACAATCGCGTTGCATGCCTAGGTCCTTGCCATCCCATGCTAGTTTGATGTGCAGTCGCTAGGGTAAAGTTTATTCCACTTTGCCGTTACCCTCCCCCAAAAAAACAGAAAAAAAGCAAGAAAACATCTTTCTGATTATCCTCTTGACTCATTGATCAAACAGCGTGAAGCAAGGTCCCGCGCCAACGACGGGCACGTTCTTCCCAGTGATTTTTCTTTTTTGCATTAATTTTATTTTATTTTGTTTTTCTTTTTTTTTTAATAAAAAAATTAAGACAGTTTATGGCTAAAGTGGGTATAAAGGAAATGCACCCAATAGCCGTTATGTGGGGCAAAGCAGGAACCCAGAGAAGGAGGAGTGGATGTATTCTGTGGAGTACAACCCGTTGGCTTGGTCCGAAGGCATTTGCACCCAGACTTGGTCGTTCTCTTTGAGTTCAAGCACGGCGCTGCCCGAGGCTTGGTCCAGGTAGCCTTTTTTGTACTCATCGTAGGTGTATGTAGCAGGTACGTTGTTCTTGTACAGCGCCACCCAGACATTAGTCCCTTTGACATGCACGTGGTAGGCAAAGTAATAGATGCCGGAGATGGGACAGGTAAATATCCCAGTAGCTGCATTGTAGCCGTTGTGCCCGTTATACAAAGTCCTGTCAAATTTGACTGGCATGCCGGATGCCGGGAACGGCGAGGTCAGGATGGCCGTGAATGCTGGCGCTATTCGGGCAGAGAGCTCTCCTCGGCCATACTGTGGCTTCCCTGGCTTGCCGTTCCCCAGCACGGCACCTTCCACGCCACCGTCTGGCAAATGGAGCCCAGCAATGCCCGTCTCGTCAAACACCCCTGGTGCCCCGGGGGGGCCAGGGGGCCCGGGAGGCCCAGGAGGCCCGTGTAATCCGGGGTTTCCTGGCATTCCAGGTGGGCCAACGGGCCCTGCAATACCCGGCCCGCCCACTTTCCCCTCCCCCGGAGGGCCCGGGTGACCTGGTTCCCCTTTCAGCCCTGGTAAGCCCTGAGGCCCCATTGGCCCTGCAGGGCCCTGTAGACCTGGAATACCAGATGGGCCCCTCAGGCCCGGCTGCCCTGGAATCCCACCCTCCCCCTTAGGGCCAGGGCCCCCTGTTAACCCAGGCACCCCAGGGAGCCCTATGAACCCTGGTTCCCCTTTGGGGCCCATTGGGCCAGGTGGCCCATGTGAACCTGGCAAGCCTCTCTCTCCTGGTACCCCTGGTTTCCCTGCAAAACCATTTGGTCCTTGGTCTCCGCGTATCCCTGGCATTCCTGGGACCCCTGGGGGCCCGGCGTCACCTTTAGGGCCCATGAGCCCATGCTTACCTGGCAAACCCATGGAACCTGGGGGCCCTGGGGGTCCTATGATGCCTGGTGGCCCCATGTCTCCTGGCTCCCCATCTATGCCTGGCTCCCCTTTGTCACCAATCACACCTGGGACCCCGGGCTGCCCGCGGTCTCCTTTTAAGCCGGGCAGCCCTGGTTTCCCATAGCCTGTAGCTCCTGGTAAACCAGGAAGGCCGCGGATGCCGGGTTCTCCCTTTGGCCCCAAGGGGCCTTGCAGCCCTGGGATGCCAGCAACCCCTGGGATGCCTATTCCGTCCACACCTGGCAGGCCCCGTGGCCCAATTAGCCCCGGTTCCCCATTGATCCCAGGTGGACCGGGTGGGCCCATGTCACCCTTTCCCCCGGGAGCACCTGGCAAGCCATCAAGCCCTGGTTTTCCATTGCCCACAGGGCCTGGTGGGCCAGAAGGACCAGGTGGCCCGCCGTTCCCCCTGGGCCCTGGCAACCCTGGCTTCCCAACTCCATTTTCTCCTTTCATACCACGTTCCCCACGAAGGCCCGGCTCCCCTTTCGGTCCGGGTTCACCCCTAAAGCCGGGTTGCCCTGGAGCCCCTTGTAGGCCTGGTTTACCATTGACTGAGATGCCCGCTGGTCCAGGCAGACCTGGTGGCCCTGGCAGCCCCCGTGGCCCTTGCTCTCCCCGCATGCCAGGTTCACCTTTCAAGCCAGGCATCCCTTTCATGCCCGCCTTTCCTGGGAGCCCTGGGATGCCTGGTTTCCCAATACCAGAAAACCCAGGGGGCCCTGCAGGGCCTGGCTGGCCGTGCATTCCTGGTTTCCCAGTGCCTGGTTTTCCTGGGTATCCTGGTGGTCCTGGAGGGCCTCGCGGGCCTGGCTTCCCTGGTGGTCCGGGCTCCCCTTTGAGATCCATGGGCAGGGCTGGCAGCATGTCTGTTGAGAGAATGAGACAGCAAGTCCACACTGGGAAAAGCAGAACCACCGAGTCGCTGGAGGAGTGGGAATTATAGCAAGTGCTTGGAGCCGGGGGGGAGCGGTCTCTGTCAGGGCACCTGGGTTTTTATTCTTGGCTTTCCTAAGATCTTGCCACACCTTCTCAGTTAAACAAGGGCACTGCTATAGACCTTCATGCCCTCTCTGAAGTTGGGCATTCATATTTATGAAGAGCTTTGAGGTTCTCAGACCACAGATGCCCTAAAAACCCTGGACTTATTGTCTAGCAATTAGTTACACTCTTGTGGTCTGGAGATCCATGTTCTCCTTGTAGTAAAGCAAAGCAGGAACGAAAGCTGGCCTGCACCTTGCTCCCACTCGGGCATTAGCACTTCTACCCTTGAAGGCCAGTCCCAAAAACTAAAGCATGATGCTGGTTGCTTGACATGGCTATGAAAGTTATCACTAAAAAGAAACAAGCAGGAAGAATGGGAAGTCCTTGCAGCCCTCAAACTATGATATCGTTGGAATAACGGAGAGCTGGTGGGAGCTCACATGACCGGGGCGCTGTCGTGGATGGGGATAAACTGTCCAGAAAGGACAAGACAGGAGAGAAAAGTTGTGCTCTATGTAGAAGAGCTGTATGATTGCTCAGAGCTCCGGTATGAAACTGGGGACAGGCCTGCTGAAAGTCTTTGGGTTAAGGTTAGAGGAGAGAGCACCAAGGGTGTTGCTGGGGTGGGCGTCTGCTACAGACCACCAGACCAGGAGGATGAGGTGAATGAGGCTTTCTTCAAACAGGTAGTGCAAGTTTCCTGATCACAGGTCCTGGTTCTCATGGAGGACTTCAGTCACTCTAACAACTGCTGGGAGGGCAATACAGCAGTGTGCAGGCAATTCAGGATGTTTTTGGAGAGTGTTGGGGACAACTTCCTGGTGCAAGTGCTGGAGCGGCCAACTAAGGGCTGTGCTCTTCTTGACCTGCTGCTCACAAACAGGGAAGAATTGGTGGGGGACGTAGAAGTGGATGACAACTAGGGCAGCATTGACCATGTGATAACTGAGTCCAGGATCCTGAGGAAAGGAAGGAAGGAGAACAGCAGAGTAAGGACCCTGGACTTCAGAAAAGCAGACTTCAACTCACTCAGGGAACTGATGGGCAGGATCCCCTGGGAGGCCTGTCAGAGGGGAAAAGAAGTTCAGGAGATGGCTGTACTTGAAAGAAACCTTACTAAGGGTGGAGGAACAAACTATCCCGATGCGCAGGAAGATGAGCAAGTATGGCAGAAGACAAGCGTGACTTAGCAGGGAACTCTTCAGTGAGCTAAAACACAGAAAAGGACCCTTACAAGAAGTGGAAACCTGGACAAATAACTAGGGAGGAGTATAAGAGCATTGCTCGGGCATGCAGGGATGAAATCAGGAAGGCCAAAGCACAACTGGAGTTGCAGCTAGCAAGGGAAGAGAGGGGTTTCTACAAATATATCAGCAACAAGACGAAGATCAGGGAAAGTGTAGGTCCTTTACGAAATGGGGGAGGCAACCTAGTGACAGATGATGTAGAAAAGGCCTTTTTCAATACCTTTTTCACCTCAGCCTTCACAGGTAAGGTGAGCTCCCAGAGTACTGCACCTGGCAGCTTGGGGAGGGGGTAAGCAACAGTGGCAAAAGAACAGGTTAGGGACTATTTAGAAATGCTGGATGTGTACAAGTCCATGGGCCTGGATGGGATGCACCTGAGGATGCTGAGGGAGTTGGCTGATGTGATTGCAGAACCACTGGCCATCATCTTTGAAAACTCATGGCGATTGGGGATTGGAAAAGGGCAAATATAGTGCCCATATTTAAGAAGGGGAGGAAGGAGGATCCAGGGAACTACAGACTGGTCAGCCTCACCTCAGTCCCTAGGAAAATCATGGAGCAGCTCCTCAAGTAATCCATTTTTAAGCACTTGGGGGAGAAGAAATTGGTCCCACTTTGAGCAACCCTCATTCTCTATGATTCTCTGATTCCAAGAAGGTGATCAGGACCAGTCAGCATGGATTCACCAAGGGCAAGTCATGCCTGGCCAACCTGATTGTCTACTATGATGAGATGACTGGCTCTGTGGATGCAGGAAGAGCAGTGGACATGCTATGCCCTGACTTTAGCAAGGCCTTTGATAGTCTCCCACAGCATTCTTGCAAGCAAGCTAAGTAAGTATGGGTTGGATGAAAGGTCTGTAAGGTGGACAGAAAGCTGGCTGGATCACCAGGCTCAGAGAATAATAGTTAAAGTGTGTCCAAATTAAGGCTCACCATGGACCAGTGTTAGGTGAGCAGTGGTCAGCCTGAATGGCCCTGTCAGCACAGCCAGGCTTGGCATTGCTTCCTAACAGGTCCTCCCGTGTCTCATTCATTTCAGACCACCTAAGGAAAGACCCACTCCTGTGTCTAAGAGAAGGAACCTGACAGGCTGGTGAAGGCTTCTTAGTGTCCTGTGCGTGACTTTAAAGCCAAATGTGACCAATCCGTTAGAAGAAGAAAACCTTTATAAAAGCAGGGACAGCATCTGGGCAGCATCCAGCCCTTTGTATTTCAGTGCACGTCACCATTGAGCTCAGTGGCTAAGCGGACCTCTTGTAACTCCTGGTGGGGGGAAGGAGGCATCGAACATGTGGGTGCTGTTTACACGGGAGGCTCTTTTCTCAGCTCTGAAAATGCCCTCCAGGGATGGACTGGCATTTGGATCACATTTCCCTTCAAAGAGGGTGGCCCCCCGCCATGCTATTTTCCTTGCAAAAATCAATTCAGTGACACGGTTTTCCTTTTGGCAGGGCAGTTAATTCATCCACTTGGGAGCTGATTAGATGATTTCATTGGGCCATTTCTAACTGGTACTGCATTTTATTAGCTCTGCTCTCCAGAGGGCACAGCTTAAACGTACGATGCTTTCTCTGCTGCCGGCCACATGTTCCTGCTAACACAATAGATCCTAATGTCATTTCAAAAAGGCCACTGAGGACTGATCAAATTATTAACGTGGGGTCTTGAGGCCTTAGCTCAGATCAGGGTCATCTGTACCAGGCATTGCTCACACATTCAGCAGGAGACAGTGGTTTCTCTTAAAAGCTAGCAGCATAGCTGGACACAGGGTAGGAAGGGAAAACATGGACTCGCCAAAACTGGCAGCAAAGACCAGGAATAGAACTAGAGGTGCAGACAGAAGAGTAGCTCCCCATTGTAACTCATGGTGCTTTGCAGGAAGCGCCATGAGTTACAACAATCCCCCAGACCCAACAGAAGTTCACTGTTGGGTCCTGGGGTTGGGCAGCTGTTCTCCCCTAGCAGTGCCCCTGCCCACTCCCAGCCCCGGGGCTGTTTTCTGAATGGGAGTGGGGTAAAGGGAGTGGAGGGAGCTCTTTCTGGGGGCTCCCCACCAGCACTAGAAAGTGGGGAGGGTGGATTGGAGCCCTGCCCCACCTTGGAGGGGGTCCAATACACTTGCCCCATCCTCCAGTGCTAGCTGAAAAAACCCCAGACCGAACTCTGTCTGCTCCTTCCCCCCCCATTCTGAAAACAGTGCTGGAGCTGGGAGGCAGCACAGACACAAGTTACTGAAGGTGCTTTGTTTCGAAATGTCTTTATCTGATGAGGATCCAGATTTTTGTTGAATCAGGCCCTTTTAAAGCACTCTGCAACCATACACTTCTGTTTGGTCGCAGCTGTAGAGTGCTTTCAAGGGCCAGATCAGGCAAAAACTGTCACTTCTGTCTGCGCCTTAAGGGTTCCTGAGCCTGCAGAAAGCGGTTTGACCTGGACCACCCTGCCTTTAAAAGAGGAGGCTGTTTTTAGTTCAGCTTCGTATGCTAGAGTTGCCAAGGATATAAGCCAACACCTCGCCTTTTTCTAGTTTATGCAGCTCAGTGCTGGCTCCCTCCAACGGGCCCACCAAAAGGCCATGCACACCGTGTGTGTGGGTTGCAGACTGCCAGGCAGACAAGCGAAGGTGGCAGCACTCGGCTGAGTCGCACTGCTGCACTGGCTGTACACTGAGCAAACTGGAAATGAAAGAAAGGTGCTGCCATTCCGATTGTTTTCCAGAGCCTGCAAAAAGAGAGCTTTTTTCCCTGTTTTTTTTTCACTTGGTCATTGATTCTCTAAAGCTTGAAGCCAAAACAGCAAAGGAAGGGGGAAGATGGAGGCTGTCTGTCTTCCTCATGATGCTGTTGGGTGAAGCTTGAGTCTTTCAAGTTGTATCTGATGCTCTGCTAGACCTCCCCTAACATGTGACTGAGAATCCCAGCTTTGGCAAACGCAGCCCTGGATGGCTCTGATGGCTTTCGAAAGAGCTATGCACAGGGAAAAGTGAACGGTGGATTAAAAGGTGGATTAAAATAGCATCTATAAGCTTCATGTTGGGCCCGTGCTCTGGGGAGCAGGGATTCATTGTATTGAGTTCAGGCCTTAAGAGCAAAAAATTACTTGTACCTGGATGGATTTACCAATACTTGGAGATCCTTCTCAGTCACTGGGAAAAGATTACAGCATGTGCAATAAAAATGATAGCTTTGGCCATGTCTGCTGCTGTTGCTCCCTCCAAATATCAAAAGAGGCTTTATCTTTTTTAAGCACAACAAATGAAGACCGGTCCTTTCAGACAAGCCTGGGTGCATGGCTATTTTTCTTTGGTGAATGGAAACCTTTCCAGAACTTATGTTTTCCTGAGTTTATCTACATATCAAAGACTTGCCCAAATCCTCTACTCTAACAGAGGCACATGGCCATCTTGATTAAGGAAATACTTGCCTATCAAGACACTGCCACTGGATTTCTGAGGCCAGAAAAATAAGAGGCAAGAAAGCAAGAAAGATTCAAAATGTGCGCTTTAGCAGACTGCTGCTTTTGCATGCTGGAAAATGTCTTCCCTGGAAAATTATTTCAATATGCCCTTTTTTTCTTTCTCCTTTTCCTTCTCATGATGGAGTCTATGATTTAAAAAGAATTAGTTTTCTAGGTCAT